TTTTTTTTGAAACCATCGACCGAAAATTTGGGTAACTCATACAACAAAAAGACAAAGAAGAGTCACAGCCAGACTTATGATATAGTTTGATTGGTTTCAATTTTGAGTATGCATCCCGAAGTTGTACTGTCTTTTCTTTGAACTTAATTTCTGGGTTAGCTTCCTCGTGCCAATCCATTCCCACAATCAGATCAAATGGTAAGTTTTTTTCCACAAGAAAGGATACCTCGTGAAGAATCTGTTTTTCTTCCTTGGTGCGAGATCGACACTTGAAACAATCAACACATTGCGAGATAGTGATCGTGCGCCTATCAGCTAAGATAGGCGTGATAGGTCGAGACAAATCTTTCACCTTCATTCCGAGATGCAACTTGCGGATTGCTTTCTCGGATATGTAGGATCGCGTCGATCCCGAGTCCAATAGCCTACGCGTGTATGTGCAATCTCTAAGTCTGCGAGTAGTAGGTCACTCTTAGACTTAGATTTCTTAGCCCTTGAACTTCGTAATGCTAGCAACTCGTTACCAATCTCGTCAAGAGAGTCGTCCAGAGATACAATATATAAGACAGGTTCAGGGTGTTCCGGACGATGGGCCGAAGAAGAACCATCCTCTTCCATGCAAGTCGAAGGGTTAGAAGGGGTCGTCAGCGCGTTACCTTCATCTTGGTCCAAACCCTTTGGCTCAGTAGGAGCAGATGCTACTCCTACTGACGACTCGCTTTTGGGTTACGGATTAACGGGCACCATGCAATCACATGGTGTGCAGTACCACACTTCAGGCACTGTGCCTTATCCATCCGCTCCTGCCAGGTTTCTTGTGACATTCCCATCTTTTCCCATGGCTTCCGAGCCGTAATTCCGGGATGCTCGGGAAATGAGCATGGTTTCTTCTTCTTCACTGGTGGTCGTGGTCCTCCCTTGTTGACCACGACAACTGTGACTTCCCCCTTCCCAGACTCCCTGCTGCTTGCCACACCCTTGGCCTCCAATGGCCACTTCTCCACAGTATCGTCATCAAAGACGACGAGGGTGTGGTCCTGGCGCTTTTGGCGCCAAAGTATCCGCTTACCTGATCCTGCACCTGCATCACCACCAAACTTAACAACAGATGTATACAAATTCTTTACCTGAGAAGTCGTTTGCTCTCGTTGGAGAGCCAAATCACGAAACTGCCTGTAATTGTACTTGCCAGATTTGGACTCTGTCACGCGTTGTTCCCAGATGGGCTCGGGCAGAGCGTGGGAATAAATATACAAGACTTGGTTGTCTTGTAAGTTCAAACCAGGAACCTGCAGCAACCGATCCACTTCCCAAGACAAGGCTTCTACCGAGGTCCAATGTTTCTGTCCGATGGTAGTGAGCTGTTCAAAGGCCTTGTCGGTCGTCGTCTTATCCAAGCAGCGTTCCTTGATTTTACTCAGGAACTGCTCAATGTCAATGTAGCAGACCACTCCCCTATATCATCAAACCCCGTTGCATTGGCTTCGGCCAGAACCCATTCTTTTGCTTCCCCACCAAGACAAGAAGTAGAGAAAGCAACTTGAGATTTGGGTTCCACAGGGGCCGTACTGCAATAAGTCTGAATTTCGGCAATCCAAAGCAACAAATTTTTATCTTTCTTGTTGCAGAACGTGAAAGGCAACTTCATTCTGACTTTCTCTTTTCTCTTTGGTTTCTCAGGTTGTGTGGTGATGTCTTTCTTTCCATTTCGAGACTTCGGCGGACTCGAAGGCTCCCCTCTCTTTTCTTCCGGTTTCCTTTCTTCTGGTTTTTGAGTCTCTCCATTTAGAGACTTGATGACATCTCCTAATAATTTCTTTGGTTTTTATTCTTTTTCTATTTTGACTTCCTCAACCACTTGGTGCTTTCCTTTGACCAGATTTGTGATTGTCCGTAGTCCTGCGGCCATATCATCAATCTGTGTCTGCATCTGTTCACCATACTGATCAATTTTCATTTCAAGGTGGGCTAGGTAAGTCACAAGTTGATCTAAAGAAATTTCCTGCTCTTCCCCTTCGGTCTTGACGACAGTTTGTCTGATTTCTTTGATTTTCTGTTCTTGTTGTTCACTCCTTTTCTTCCTCAATTCTTCTTTATTTTTCTTCTCCTTCTACAGTGCTTCTTCTAACTGTCTGATATTTTCATCCACAGTTTCTTGAGACACAATTATTTCTTTCTCCTCTTTCTGGTCTGCAATCTTCCTAAGTTGCTCAATGACATACTCATCAAATGTCTGTCGACACTTGATTAGTACATCCTAAATCTGTATGATGTCGGTGCCTAATTTAGCATGTTCGATAGCAGCTCGTGCTGCCTTCAAATCGAACTTGTCTAGCACGTATGCCTCGACTTTGGCACCTGCGCCACGAAGGTCAGAAATCCGTTGGTCCAAGCGGGCATTCAGAACCTTCTTCCGCTCATCCACTTGATGCCTGGTTCGAAGGTCAGGGGTCTCCTCATCAATACCGAAGATGAGTGAGACTGGATAGAAGAGAAAGGGAATAAATCGTTTAAGCACAGACAATTTCAAACAATTCCAAAAAAGAGACATTGTGATGTAAGTCTGCCGCACAATAAATAATCAATAACAATAATAAATTCCACGGCCGCACTATTCTATGACAATAAGAATTTTAAACAACCGAGGAAGAAAATAAATACAATTATTTTTAATTCTAATTTTTGATGCTCTTTGTCTGTCTGTGTGATGACGTTCTAATCAAGAGTGTACAGGTACCACCTCAAGCCCGTGTGATCAGATACAACATACAAGTAAGTACGCACAACACCACAACACAGCAAATGACAGGTAAGTATGCCAACATCAATCAACAACAATGTGTCAACAATCTTCTTTTTTTTCCCTATGTGTGGTTCCTGTTGCCAATGTGTTACAGCACCCCTCTTGACAGCTGGCACTACAGCTGTCCAGTCAGCCGTTCAATCAGCCGTACCACCTTCGTCTTCAAGGTGCAACTTTTACTTGGCAGCCACCTGCCTGCCACGTGTCATCCCTGGCATACCAACATAGCAAATCTGCCACGTCAGCACATCATGTCCAATCACGGAATGCCACGTCAGCAAATGTGTACTCTGATCCTTCCCACTTGCCAATTCCTCGCGTCTTGGTGTGATACCGTCGCTGCCTCAGCCAATCAGACAATGCCACGTCAGCCAATGGAGACCTATGCCACGTCAACACGTAATCACCACGTCAGGGACTGGTGTGATAAATCTCCCTGCCACGTCAGCGATCATCCTTGACTTCCCCAAAGGCCACGTCAGCACCTATTCCGGACCTGGTCGCGTCTCAACTGCTAATGCATCATGAGAATGCCACGTTAGCAATTTCCAGCAAACAAGTCTTTAGATGTGGCACATAATATGCCATGTCAGCACGGGATCGTGATGCCTTACTTTCGCGATCCTGGCTGGCGCGTGGGCACTTCTTGATCGCGATCCCGTCTGCCGCATCAGAAATCGTGACGGGATTCGGTCTTCTCGCCAGCGAAGTCCATGCCTCGTCAGCAAAACCGGCGGTCTTCGTCGTTGTCCACATCAGATCTCGTTATCATCACATCATACACGCACGTATCACTTACCTGGCGCGCGTTGTCATCAGGAGTATGCTCAGATACCAAATAGCAATGAACCCAGATCGTGAAGACACTTGTCAACAATGCAAGTCTAGATGAATGTCAACCCGCTGATGATTATCAATAATCATAATCGTGTCCAGATAGAATGAGATGGGATAATCATACACAGACGAAGGAGAGAGGGGGGAGATTAGACGAATAAGAGGAATAGAGAACAAGACCCACTCCTGCTTCGGGTTTCCTCCTCGATCACCACCTTAGATAATCAATAGTCTGAACACACATTTAAAGTTTTATTCTAGTGTGCCACGTGGCACGTCGATCAGACCCTCATCAACGTACTGGAGNGACCCTCATCAACGTACTGGAGCAATGTCGACCTCAAGATAACCAGGTACGTGTCCACAATCATCCCACAGTCATGATCTCCTCCCGAGTGACGAAGAATCAGAACAGCAGTGCCGGTCATGTAGCCCAGCCATGTCAGAAGATAGAATACGTGGCAGCGGCCACGTCAGCAGAAACGTGTGGCAGCTGCCACATCAGCATGCCTTGAAGACAATAGCCAGCCAGCCACCATGCTGAGCCAGCCGTGCATCGCCGTGATCTCCCAAGTGCCAGCACAAAGCCAGTGTCCACCAGCATCGCAGCGCCGAGCCAGCGTCACGTCGTCAACGCGTGAAGTCAGCATTGACGCAAGACTGAATGAATGCCAAAGCCAGGAAGTCAGCGCTTTAGTAGCGTTGACGCGGGGTCTGGACCCCGGATGCTGCATCCCTCAGCCGTCCAGATTTCAATGCAAGTATCGGCCCAGATTAACCTGAAATCAAATTCCTTCTGGCCTCGATGCTGTCTGGGTACCTGCGCACAACAAGTGAGTGTATCCGACCAAGGGCCTGGGTGCGGTACCTTTGACGTGACAGTTGACTTAGACTTTTGATTTTCCCATGTGCAGTGTGTGGTCACACTGCCTGGTGCAGGCCGGGTTTGGCCTGCGTCCTCTGGGCTCCGTTTCGAGGGCCCAGACTGCTGCAGAACATGGGTTACTGCACTCTCTCCTCTCAAGTTCATTCATTTCTTTTTGCAATTGGACAGCATTGTGCTTTCTCGTGGATTTGTACTACGAAATTGGCCAGGATCATAACATCCCAATCAAAGCCAGGACTTAACAATCTAGGCAGTGTCATTTGCACAGGTAGGAAAACTGTCAAGTGTCTTGTGGCAGGATATCATGAACATGGAAACTTTTGCTGAGGGTTTTGGGCAATGCCAGAATTCAATTCAAATTGCTGTTGCTGGCCTGAGTTCTCTTGGTTAGTTTCGAGCTGTTTTGTTTTGTCTCATTTGTGCAGTGTCCATTTGTCTAGTGATTTACTGGATAGAATAAGTAGGTACACTTACTTTATGAAGTCGTTCTTCAAGACCCTCATCAAAATGGTTGCAAGAAACCCTGTCAGAAGCAATACTGTAACAATGGAATTAACAATAGAGAACCAGTGGATTTCAAGGTGCTGAGGGAGAAATGAGTATCGAGAATATTTTTCCATCCGCCTGTCAAATTGCTTGTCCGTTTTGTTCCATGCGGCGGAATACGTGAACTCGGCCTCCAGCTCCTTGTCCTCAGTGATATCCATCATTGCCTTTGGATCTGTTGACAAGTTAATCTCGATAACCTGGTCTTCATTGTAGAGTATTTCGAAATGCAAGCTTGTGAAGAGATGGTATCGAACTTCTTTGGTGTCACCCCCTTTCTTCCCAATGTACCCCCACAGAGGGAGATCATCATAGTACATCTGAAAATAGTAATCATTCTGAATGGCATCCCGGAACTTTTGTACTTCTTCTACAGATAGTCTTCTGTTACAAAGTAGCCGTTTCTCATATGTGACCCGGAAGGGAAGCATGTAAGGGGCATCTGCCATCCGGTCACCATTTAGTACTTCCCCAAGATCCTCCCTTTTCTCCTTGACATGATCTGCCAAAACACGAGAGCTAGCTTGTCAGAAGACTTATTGCTTCACCCCACTGACACTGTCCTCCCTTGGATGTTAGACAAACAATGGCATAAATGACATATAGAAGAAAGAAGACTCCCTGGTGGACAGGACGCATTTGAGTTCTCAACAATCCAGCAAACTATTGCCTGCATTTCTACCATAGCTGAAACACTCGTCAGAGGTTCTGCATAACTGCATTTTGGGACATTTCGTCCTACAGCCTATGGGATCCTCCGTGCATGCCCAAGAGCATAAGGACCAAACTTGAAAACTTGTACCTCCTTAGTCGTGTCCATAGCCAACAGAGTTCTGCGACTGTGAAGGTTTGCTTCACTGACATTTTCGTTTCTGAAATGATCCGCTCTGATTTGCTCTTCACACAGCATTCAAAATGAAAGCTCACATAGAGATTCACACCAAAGCCAGATATGGAACACCAAAATCAGCGCAGTTCAGAAACTCAATGAATACTTGAATTGTACAAAAATTCAGTTCAGATAACCAGCGCTCATCAGTGCATGCAACAACTTCATCAGGTAGTGGCTATCCCTCTCTCTCTCTTCTCTCTCTGGGGTTGCTCTCTCAATACTTGTATCACTCTGGCTCTCTCTCTCCTCTCTCTCTCTCACCCTCTCTCCGTCTGCTACTACTAGGATTGAAACCCTGGATACATCCGTTGTACTTCAACTGCAACCTCAGCTATGGCAGCTATGGCCGCCTTCTACTTCCTCAACCCTAAGTGGTGCGCCGCCAAGCAGGCCCTGTGACGCACAGCCCAAGCTGTGAGGTCGCACAAGCAACCAGCAGCGCTTCCGCAATTCACGCAGGACAATGTTGTGTGCTGCACTGTAGCAGCTATTAATAGTTGCTTGGCTTGGCCTGGTTTGCTTCTGACTGGTACCGGCTGCACTCGGCCTGTCTGCTGCATGAGTTTTAGTTGCCCGGTACCTTCCGGACTCTTCCTGGGATGCTGCTGCAAAATTTGACTTTGGGCCTGGGATTTTCCTGTCAGGTACCGGTTGGACTTTTACCGGTCTGCCTCTTCGGTACCGGCCCGGCATCGACTTACGACGTTTTGGCCTCCTTCGGACCTAATGACCCTAACGACCGTACCTGGGACTCACCTACTGGGACAGGTTGGACTGTGACCATCTGGGACTGGGACAACTTGGGACCTGGAACCGGGACTTGGGTGTCTGCAACGTGAAATCCTTTCACTCCTGCCGGCCTAATTTGGAGGTCCCCCGAGAGAGTTGGTAACTTCACCGATTTACAATGTTAATCCCTCTGTGTGCCCTCTCATAATAGGAAACTATATGCGGGGCAGTCTTCATTAGGTCATCCTTGTAAACCAGCGTTCTTCTTCAGGTTCTTGGTAAGCAAATCTGACCTTGTACCATCACTCTGGTCTCCCGCTGTGTCCTGTCCTCTACGCGTCTTCAGCGACAATTTGGTCTACATCGTATTCTCCATCCATGTCGGATGGTATCATAGACCTTCGCGAGGGAAACTGGTCGTTAGTGACACAGGGAAGCAAGTTAGACGCATGGAAGACTGGGTAAGAGTGTAGATGCGTTGGGATCTCAACTGTGTAGGAGGGGCCATCTGCTGGGGAAGTCCTGGACATCGTGGGTAGCGATTTGGATGGACCCTCTTATGTGATTAGAATCCCTGGACATCTGTGCACTTACCCTGTATTTCACGCTTCCAAGCTTGCACCTTTCGCTGAGACTGACAAGTTCCCATTAAGGAGATCAATGCTGCCCCCAACCATGGATGGCCATGTGGACGTTGACGACATCTTGGGGCATAGAGATTTGCCTGTTCCCAATCCTGTGGGCAGGGGAAGACAACCCAAACCTACGAGAGAGTACCGGGTCAGATTCAGGCATCCTACGGATCCAAAGAGGCCCATTGGTTCACAAAAGAGGACCTGGTCAGAACAGCACCTCAGGTCGTGCCAGAGTATGAACGGAAGTTGATGGGGAAAGCACCTGCGTTAAAGCATCTCAGCGGACTTTTGAAGCTAAGGGGGATGAAATGCGGGGATTGAGCCCTCGAAAGGCCCTTGTCAGGCATACACATGTACTGGGCTTGTGTAAGGAGGCGGAGGCAGAGCAGTGAGGCTGGGGGAGAGAGGGAGAGTGAGAGCACACACACACGCTCACTCAACTCGACGCAGACTCGACACGACTCGACGGACGAAGACACAAAGTGGCAAAGTGGCAAAGTCGCAGTCTTGAATTCCTGAACGCAATGTCGAAGCAGAGTCACACTGAACAAGCATTGAGGCTGAAACCGGTTGCCCGTACTGGGCTTGAGTCCGGTCTTAAGTACCGGACTCAAGTTCAGTTCCGAGGGCAGAAGTGCAATTTGCCTCAGGGCTGAACTGAAAATCGAAGGTCTGAGTCTGGGCGCCAGAATGCCGGATGGTGCCAAGTGTCGAAATCCGAAAGTGACACAGGAGGAATTTGAGAACGGGCGCCAACTGCAGAGGGCGCCAACAGTCAGGACCCAGAGAGCAGAAACCCAAAAATAAAATAGCAGCCTGGGGGGTGGTAACCCGAGGACCAGGGATCGAGCCCTGGCTGAGTCCGTAACACTATCCCCTCCCTCTGGAAGGCAACGTCCCGGCTGCCAAAGACCTAATGAAGAACTGTGAAGGACGGGACGGGGCCGATCACTGGTCAGAAAAGGAGAGGGAGAGTAATGCAAGTAACAGGGTAATCTTACTGTTGTTCTACAGGGGTGAAGGTATCAATGTTCAGGTAACAGGGTAGTTGAGGTTCTACAAGGTTGAAGTAACAGGTAGCAGGGCAATACTATTGATGTTCTACAGGGATGAGGGTATCAATGCTCAAGTAACAGGGTAATCCTATTGAGGTTCTACAAGGGTGAGGGTAGCAATGTTCAAGTAATAGGGTAATTCTATTGAGGTTCTACGAGGATGAGGGGAGCAATGTTCAAGTAACAGGGTAATCCTATTGAGGTTCTACAAGTAACAGGGCAGTCCTATTGATGTTCTACAAGGTTATAGGTTGTCAGGTTTGAGAAAAAGAAAAAGAAAAATTGTTTGTTCAATGCTCAAGGGCTGGGGTGTCTGAGGGATCTGGGGAAAACAAAGTCTCAGGTCTGTAACAAAGTGTCAAAAAGAAAAAAAATGTATTGAGAAAGGTCGTCGGAGGTCTTGATCAGATCCAGGATGGTGAGAGAACCGGTCTTCAGCGGCTGCAACAGGTAGTTGTCGAATGTCCAAACTGCAGGAAAGCGAAGTAGGAGTACAAGTGTCCAAAGTCCAAGTGCTGGAGTGTGTCCGGTTCATGAACTGCAAGGTCTGATCCGGTAGCAAGAAAATTGCAGACTGATGCAAAGGTCCAGATCACATGTCACTGCTCCAGTAAGTCCGCGAGTCCAGATGTTGGCCAAGGAAACAGCATGGTGTCCAAACCAGCTGCATTATCTCCATGATCATGAGGCAGCAGGCCATCGTCCTCATGCGCTTGCCATTAGATCCTTTATTGCCGGCGTCACACAGGTCCACAACCATTGGTCAAGAGAGACAGAGAGTGTGGTAGAGGACAGATGGGAAGGACTAGGCTGAGGCAAGGGCGGATCAGACAGCGAGAGATCAAGATAGGGGTTAGGTTGGGTTCAGGGGTGGTGTGTGTAGAGTAGGTATGTACGGGTCAAGGCATAGGCAAGTAGATAGCTATGATACAGGGTGGGTACGATCATAGTCACGAACAAGTCTCATGGTGTTCTTTAGATTTGCAAGGAATTCCCATGTTGATTCTTCGTCTGTGTATCCCGTCCATTTTACTTTGTATTATGTGATAGGTGGCTGGATACTTGAGTTGTTCTACAGCCGATGATTGATTCCACAGAGAATTCAGGACCGCTGGGAAGCATGATAGGTGTTGGACGAGGATAAGGGCAATCAAAGAACCGAGGAGGTGATTCGTGGAATTCTTTCAAGTATTCTACATGGAAGACAGGATGGGCACGGTTCATGTTAGGAGGAAGTTGGAGCTTGTAGTTTACATCGGAGGTTTGTTCAATGATGGGGAATGGACCGAGCCACTTGCTCAAGAGTTTCTTGGACAAGCCTTGTTCAGGATCGAAGCATTTGGCGGGGAACCAGACTTTGTCCCCAACATGGAACGAGGCGTCACGGCGATGTTTGTTCATTGGCTTGGCTTGTTGTTCCTGAGTTTGTTGAATAGATCAGGTGGCTTCTCTTAGGAGGAGGTTCATTGTGGCAACCCATTCATTGAGAGAGGGACAAAGAGTAGATGGGTTGAGCTGTGAGGGGAGCAAGAAGTCAGAGGGCAAGCGGGGATGGTAGCCAATGTCGAGGTAGAAAGGAGACATGTCAGTGGAAGGGCAGACAGCGTTGTTGTAGGCGATCTCGACAGCAGAGAGGAGCTGGTCCCAGTCGTGCTGATGGGGATGACAATACTTCCGGAGGATGCGCTGGAGAGTATCGTTCATCTTCTTTGTATGGCCATCAATCTGGGGGTGGAAGGCGGTGTTGTACTTGAGGGTGGTCACGTATTCCTTGAAGAGATTTCTCCAGAACTGTGAGAGGAATCGGGAGTCACGATCGCTGATGATGTTTTCGGGAAGACCGTGATGACGGGTGACGTGGTCGAAGAAGAGTTTGGCGACGTCCTTGGCTTGGCAGGTGGTCGTGCAAGGGATGAAATGGGCGTGCTTGGTAAGGCGGCAGACAACAATATAGATGCAATCGTGACCATGGTCGATCGTGTGGAGACCACAAACGAAGTCCATAAAGACAGATTGTCAGCGGTGGGTGGGTATGGGGACAGACTGGAGTTTGCCAGCCTTGGCTTGGTTGGAGGGATTGACGGCTTGGCAAGTAGGGCAAGAACAGATGTAGGCTTTGACGTCAGCAAGGAGCGAGTGTCGATAGAGGTAACGGGAGATATTTTCAAAGGTTTTCTGGAAACCGAGTTGTCCGACAATCTTGGTGTCATGATGCTTACCCAAGAACTGGGTACGGAGACCATAAGCGGAAGGGATGCAAAGTCGGCGGGTTCCTTTGGTGTCGATGTAGAGGAGATGGTCGATGAGGGAGTAATCAGGGACATTGTTAAGGTCGTGGAGTTTGGTGTAGGTAGGGGCGAAGTCGGGGCAGGAGGCGTAGCCATGGGTGAAAAGTTGTCGAAGAGATTGCGGGAGGTTGACATGAGTCATGGCAGTGAAGACTTTCTCGGGGGGCTTGTGATCAGGTCCGTCAAAGAGGGCATCGACAACGTGATTGGTCTTGTTGGGAGTATGGAAGATGGTGAAGGTAAACTGGGCAAGAAAGTCTAGCCAGCGGGTCTGGCGAGGGGTGGTATCCTTTTTGGTTAGGATACTGGAGACGACTGTGTTGTCAGTGCGAATGGTAAAGTACTGGCCATCGGGGTAAGGGCGCCAGACTTTAATGGCATAGATGACGGCGAGGAGTTCCTTCTCATCGGAGGGATAGTTCATCTCAGCAGCGATGAGCTTCTTACTCGCGAATGCGATAGGGTACTCGTCGGGAGGTGCTTCGGATCATGTGGGGGAATCCTTGATGGTGGGGGGGTCGCGAGGGAAATGCAGGGATAGAATGACGGCGAGAGCAATGTCCGAAGGGTCGGTGGTAACATAGAAGTGGCGAGCAGGGTCGGTGATCTTGAGAACGTGGGCAGTAGTGATGAGGTGTTTGACTTTTTCAAAGGCGGCTTGGCAGCGTTCGGTCCATGTGAAGGACTCGGTGGGGCGGGTGAGCTCATAGAGTGAATAGGCAGTGTCGGAGAAGTTTTGGATGAAGGGGCAGTAGTAGTTAGTGAGTCCAATGAATGACCAAAGTTGGAGCAAGGTGGTGGGAGGTGGGAACTCGACGAGCGTAGCGACCTTCGAGGAGTCCATGCGAATACCTTCAGTAGAGACAATGTGGCCAAGGTATTCCACGATCGAGGCGGCAAAAGTACATTTGTTAAGCTTAGCGTTGAACTCTTGCTCACGGAGGATGGAAAGTACCTTCTCGATGTGCTGAAGGTGGAACTCGAAGGTGGGACTGAAGACAAGGATGTCGTCGAGGTAGACCACGACACAGACTTCGAGGAGATCACGGAAGATGTGGTTCATGGTGGACTGGAAGGTTGTTGGGGCATTTGTGAGGCCGAAAGGCATCACAAGGAACTCGTAATGCCTGAAGCGAGAGCGAAAGGCGGTCTTGTGGGTATGTTCCTTGCGAATACGGATCTGGTTGAAGCCACTACGGAGGTCAATCTTGGTAAAGTATTTGTCTCCGCGGAGGAGATCAAGAAGCTCAAATATTTGGGGGAGTGGATACTTATTCTTGATCGTGATCTGGTTTAAGGCACGGTAGTTTGTGCACATGCGGAGCTCCGGGGTGTCGCTTTTTTTTACGAAGAGACAACTTCCGAAGGGGGATGAGCTAGGCTTAATGAATCCTTTTTCAAGGAGTTCATTGAGTTGGCGCTTCATCTCTTCGGCCTCAGGGACGAAGAGTTGGTACGGAGGGTGGCAAGGAGGAGAATGGTCGGGTTTGAGGTCGATGGTGTGAGATACACCACGATTGGGTGGCAAGCCTGCGTGCAAGGACTCAGGGAAAACATCCTTGAATCTTGAGAGGAGAGAGGTGATGCGAGGGTCGGATGGTGGGCCGTGGTCAGGTTTGTCCGTTGGGATCAAGTCCTCAGGACGTTCACGGTCGATGACGAGGCAATAGTAGGCGGAGTCAGGGTGTTGGCGAGACATGTGGAGGAATTGGTGGGAAAGACGGGGGGTGGGGTGGTAGGAGGAAGAATGTATGGTATGTCAAGGGCAGAGTTCGGAGTAGAAGAGAGGCGGACGAAAGAGGGGTAGAAAGAGTAGGGCATGTAGCGATCAATCCAAATAGTTCCCAGGACGACGTCGCACATGAGGTGCATGATGTCAAAGGAGATCTGACTGCAGAGGAAGCCGATAGTCATGGTGACCTCGGGAACTGTACGATCAACGATCATGGCTGAGTTCTTGTCCCCTAAGCGAATGGTGATCGGGGAGTCATAGCTGGTTGAGGGGAGACCGACTTTGCCGACATAGGCGCCAGTAATGAAGTTGTCGTTAGCCCCGCCGTCAAGGAGAGCCCGAAACTTCAATGTCAATGCGTCGAGGGAGATGTATATGAACTTGAGTTGGAGCTGGGAGGTTCCGGCACAAGCGGCGGAGATCATGTTGTTGAGGCAACGCTGTTCGGTGCCTAGTCAAGCCGGTCGTGTCGAGCTTGTTCCTCAACAACTCGGAGAAGGTGATTAAAGAGGGGTTAGGGAGAAGGGTAGAGGAACACGTGTTAGTAATCACTCGACCGTCGGGGTGAGGGACATCGTCGGGAGGGGGGCAGGCGGAGTAAATTGCGAGTGTCATTCGGTGGGGTATGCATCATCGGAGGTAGGGGTTGACTAGTTGTCAAATATCAGGGCGGGGTTGCAATAGGCAAGGGGACGGTATTCATGTGTGGGAGGGTCCCGATGTCGCCGATGGTGGGGTAGCGGACACGACAGGCCGAGGTCCCGTGGAGCAGGGAGCCTGTCGAGTGAACTGGCCAGCGTTGGGGCAGCTGGTTCGCTAGTGGCCCAAGTGACGACACCGGAAACAGCCATTGTTGGTTTAGAGGTAGGCACGCTCCTCTGGGGTGAGCTTTGTTAAGCGAGGGGGCAAGGTGGACTCGATGTCGGGGTCAGGTTTGGAGAACTCATCTGACATCATGGTGGAGGTGTCCTCGGAAGCGATGTTATGGAAGAAACGTGTTCGGCAAGGGACGTAGGGAATGGTGGCCTTGTGAGTTGAAAGGAGACTGTCGATGTGGAGAATGCGGGAGAGAAGATCGGATAAGGTTGTGGTGGGTTCGTGGAAGAGGGCGACAGTGATTTCGCGGTTGGAGACCCGCTTGAGGCGGGAGATGAAAGTATCATCGGCGATCAGGTGGGCGGGGATATGTTGTCGTAGTGAGCTGACATATTGGACATAGCAGTCGGTGGGGCCGTACTGATGAAGGCGACAAAATTGGTCGATGTAATCATCGAAGGTCTTTTGTGGGGGGAAGGTGGTTGTGATCAGCGTAGCCCACTCGAGGAAGGAGTACGAGGGTTAGCCGCTTTCTTAGTGGTTAGCGACTTTGGTGAGCCACCAGCGGGCGGCGTTGGCGAGGAGTAGTGTACCGACGACGGGTAGCCAGTGGACGATGGGGACGGTGTGGAGATAGAAAGCTTGTTGGAGTTGGCTAAGGAAGAGAGATACGTCCTCATTGGGGTGACTGGAAAAGGTTGGAATGTTGTTGGCCCGGAATGAGCGAGCGATGTCGCCATAACTAGGGACGCAGGGAGTGTGTTGAAGTTGAGGGTGGGTGAGGAGTTAACCAGCTGGGTGAAGTCTTGTTGAGGGTTTGTTGGGAGAAGGGCGTTCGGGGGATGTTGGGGGAGAGCGCAGTGTGACATGGCGGTTACCTGGAAATAGGTGGGCATTCAGAGGCAGGGGATGATGGATGCAGTAGAGATGAGTTGGGAGATGGGAGGTGTGGATACGGATTGGGTGCCAAGGGGATGGGGTGGAAATTGGGCAATGAGAGGGGTGGATGAGGGAGGAGGTGAATGTTACACGCTGGTGGTGGCCGTTGGGATGGGGGTGGTGGAAGCTGGGAGGGCGGATGGACCGGCGGTGGAAGTGGAGGTAGAAGCGGTAGAAGTGGGAGGAGGAGGAGGTGGGGGCAGATTAAAACCCGACGTGGGAGTAGGAAGCGTGGTGGTAACCACTTGGATGGAAGGGGTCGATGTTTGCTCTATGTTGTCCATCCGGCTGGAGAGGCCGGAGATGGACGCTGCGAGGGAGGTTTGGAGGGAGCGGATTGCGTCTTGGATGGATTGCATCATCGTGAATATGGAGGTGTTGGTGGGGATAATTTCCGGTGCGGGTTGTTCTGAGGTCACAAAGGATGTTGTCGACGGATGCGGTGCCAATGGTACTCATTTTGATGCTTGAGGAACCGTCCGCCATTGTGGAGGGAGAGGACGGGACTAAGGAGATAGATGTAGCGGTGGAGGCGGTGGCTGCAGCGGTGTTCTCAGCGGCCCAGGCGGTGGCACGCAAAGAAGTCTTGGTGCGGGGGGTCATGGAAGGGAAGAAGATGTGTGAATTTTGCCGGTTTTTATTAAATTGATTTTTTTTAATGCGTTTTTAAAGGAGAAATTTGAAAAATTATGGGGGAGATAATTGAAAAATGCAAGGAATATGAGTGTGAACGATATATAGAAAACCAAATTGCGAAATCGCAAAGATGTCCAAGTAGTCGTATACAAGCAGAGAGCACAATTGCACCGAGAATCCATCCAAATAGAACAATACAATGAAGTAATGCGCCAATGTTCAAGCCCTCGGGCCACACCAACACAATATCCAAAGTCGCTCCTCTCTGTCTGGCGCCCAGCGCCTAGCCTACTCTACTCGACTATCCTACCAACAGTTGTGCTCACGCAACAGGCTCACTTCGACTCTCGAAGACCAATGTACATGATGTCAACACCATAGCCGACCTCTCTTTATGCACCAGGTACGTATCTCGTCACCCTCATCAAACCTTGATAACCCACACACGCGCCTCCTTCCCTAAAGACCACCAGATCACCTGTCTTAACCCCTAGCGCCCAACAGCCTGGCTATGGCTGCCAGCCCACCGCTGCCCCGCAGCGCCCCACTTCACCTCAACGCGCCCCGCAAGCGCAATGGCCGCAACGCAGCATCCAATGCAGCAACGCAGGAGTGTGACCGCATTGCCTGCGCGGGCCGGAATGCCTAGCCTGGGCTGCCTTCCTATATGGAAGTGGCAGCTCCTAGATGCTGCGTGTGGCCTGGCTGGAAGCTTCCAATAGCTTGCTGTTGGGCCGCAGTTCTTGCGCCCAGGCAAGAGACTACAATTGAGGGTCTGGGCCTTTTATAATTGGGCACGGTCTGCGTCTCCGAACTTGGGCCGTTTGCTGCATTTGCACAGGACCCAGGGGTAGGTGCGTCGACAATACTGCTTTTGCATAGGCCGGTGGCCACTTCATGATGTATCGGCCCTGCTTTGTGTATATGTGCCCAGGCGCAACTGCCAAGGCCTGGGTCAATTGTATGATGCGGCTTAGTGAGGCTCACGCGTTCATTCAACCAACCGGCGGACTGCAACAGCCTGAGTACCCATACATGAAAATGTTGAATTTTGGCCTCTGATGAATATTCAGGCCTGCCTTTACTTAGGGCGGGCACTTGGCTTGTTGGGGGCCTCTGCCTAGAACATGTGTTTGCCCGATCAGGGTCCCTGTGAGGGCTTGTTCTTTGCATCCCATCCCCCTTAGCTTTGAAAGTTCGCTGAGATGCTTCATGTTGATGCCTTCCCCTTCAGTTTCTTCTCATAATCAGCCACAATTTGAGGAGATGTTTTAACAAGTTCCTCCCTCGTACCATCGATCTTCCGTAGGATCCGTATGATGCCTGAACCGTACTCTGTATTCCCTTGCATGCTTAGGCGGTCTACCCCTGCCAGCTGGCTTGGGAACAGGCATATCTCTGTGCTCCAGGATATCGTCAACGTCCACGTGGCCATCTATGGTTGGGGGCAGCGTAGATCTCCGTGATGGGAACTGTGTCTCAGCAAAAGGAGCGAGCCTTGAGGCATGAAAGACAAGGTAAGTGCGTAAGTGACCATGGATACGAATAACGTACAAGGGACCATCCATTTCACTACCCACAACATCCAGGACTTCCCAGGGAACGAACTACTCAGGCATTAGTTTCTTAGAGATGTCGAACTCCTGTCCCAGCTCACTAGCCTTAACCCAGACACGTTCCCCTACTTGAATTGTGGACTGTCGACGATGTTTGTTCTCAGAAGCAATCATTGCTTCCTGAGACTTCTTGATGTTCTCGACAGCTTGCTGCAGCAACTTCTCGTACTGGACACCAAATTCAATGGTTCCAGGAGTTGCAGCAGGTCAGTTTTCAGGAAGGAGGAAGTCTAGTGCAGATCTAGGCTTCCACCCAAGATGAAGCTGATTCGGGGTGACCCAGGTGGTGTTGTGTACTGCGTTATTGTACAGACTGGCGATGAGAGGCAATTTCTTATCCCAGTCATCTCGGTTGGGCTTAATATAATGCCTCAGCAGATGCTGCACCACCCGGTTCATCTATTCAGCCTGCCCATTGGCTTTGGGATGATTCCCAAAAGTCATTTGGAGTTGGCTGCCCATCTATTCGGCAGTCTTCTTCCACATCTCGCTTGTGAAACGCATGTCTCTATCACTAATGATCATCTTTGGAAGTCCAAAATCATGCACCCAGTTATCCATTAATAACTTGATGACGTGTTCAGTCCTGGCGGTCTCCGACATGGCAATTAGTCTAGCAATATGATGAAGATATCTCTCTTCGCACTCTTGCTGGTCATTAGGGT